GACGACGCCGCCCCTCTCTCCTCTCTCTCTCTCTCTCTCTCTCTCTCTCTCTTTCTCTCTGCTTCAGATTCGTTAAACTCGCTCACGCGGCTTGCACCAACGGCATGCCATACTGCGCGTGTGTGCCCTCCGTCTATGTAAGTTGTATATACGCGCATACAAGCGCGTGCACAGCGGTCGCGTAACAGAGTCACGGTGTATAGAGACGGCGATCGGCATACTTGGTGCGGGTTTCTCGGGCTTATTGACGATGAAATTAAGGCGATTTGTCGAAGTAGAGCGGTTTTATTGAGAGTTCGCGCTCCTTTCAGATTGTGGATAGTGGGAGAACAAGCGCGATGCACATGCACATGCGCAAATACATAGTGCGTTCTTCTTCGTTCACCGATGTTGATATCACGGCAATTCCTTTTTTTTTTTTCTACGCATACGGGGTAGTCCACGGAAATTTTATATACCTATCGAGAGAACTTGTGTACGCCGTTTCTGCTATTATTTCTAATAATTCTTGCCGTTATTTTGCAAAATATTTTTTGTATCCGCGAAAGATCGTAGCGCGATTCGCGTGAAAAATTATCGTCTTCCTATCGTTGGTGATATTGCGGCAAAATTCAATGTTGCGGAAAGAAACGTGCTTTTGTACAATTTTACCATTTTATTTGAATGCGAATACTTATTCTTTTCAATTTTTTATATCATTCTTTTACATCTACACATATAGACGCACTCGCATGCGTTCGATTCCTGGTATTTGGTGCGGAATCAAGCCGCTCGCACAGGTAGAATACTATAATCTAAAGGCTTATTTGTGTTGTTGCAGGTGCACCTGTGTGAAGCCGGAGGCAGAGGATTCGGAGAACGGGAGAATCTAGGTATGATTGCTTTGTGGAATTTCAAGCGCAAGAATGTGGCTTTGAATGTATCTATGTAAATCATGTTCTCGGCCACATTCGAGGAATTGATTGATTATTTTAATGCTAAAGAAAAAAAAGAAAAAACAAATCAAATTTTGAGGAAAACTGAGTTACTTTGCATAAGAAAATATTAATAAATATATCTCTAGGTATATTTACAAGAAGAAAATTTTGATATGAACTTAAAATGAGAATGTTGTTTGGATAAGAATAAGAAAGATAATGTATAAAATAAAAATCGAATAAGTTAATAAAAACAAGTGAATTATTTAGTTAAAATAATTAATCAATATTTTTAACATTAAATAAGTAAAAAGTTTTTGTTTAATATCATGAAGAATATTTATTTGATAGTATATATACATAACTATTTTTCATAATATTTTTAAATAATGAATTTACATGCTACTTTTTGAAAGAATATTTCATATGATTTAACAATAACTTTAATACTAATCGTATATTGTTTTCGATATAGAAATAAAACAATGCATCAACACATGAAATGAATGATATAATCTAAATTCGATTGTTTCTAAAACAAAAATCAAGTTCAAGCATAAAAAGTGATTGGCGCCAACTATAATAAATTGTATTCACTTATCAATGCATCCACAATTGCTTCAGACTTTTTTTTTTCAAATACGCGCTTCCTCATACTAATAATAATTCAAGATGGTATTACTATGACACATCAATCACGCCTTAATGATACTTACTTGTCTATCTTTATCAAATGAGAGAATATCGTTTGAATAAAAATACATTGAATGTATCCGATCCTTCGTGTTTTTAACATGAGACTTACATTCCGCAAAGTCTCTAGAAACGCATATATTTTCAAACGAACAGGTTTTATCTATATAGAGAATGTTGCATCGAGTGATTGAAATACATGAATCACGTCTTCATTCGAATTCAGATCAACGAACCTGCATCATTCGTCGATGGGGAAAATTGTACGGTGGAAGATATTTCTTACTTTCGCGTGATCGTTCCGTACCGCTTGATCGATGGTATCTATAATAAGAACATAAGATACAGCAGCCAAGTTTTACCGATGTTAAATGGTTAGTTTCGCCGATCATTTTGTTCTTTGTTTCCATCCATTATACGGCGTAAAGTTTAAGTTTCAATTACGAAGTCGCGATCTGCACGCATAGTTATATAAACGAGATGCATCGTAATTGGCTCGTAAATTTCACGTATACAAAATGTAGATGTGTGCAAAATTGAGCAACTGATATTTATGCAATTAAAGATGTCTTTTAAGTATACCATATAATTGAGAAAGTCAATCACGAATATTTCAAGTTTTTACTTTTTTTTATATTTGTTCGAGAAGGAACAAGCATTTTCATCGAGAAAAATCTAGAGATATAAATTATTATTTTCACTTACTATTAATTGTATGCGATCTATAGTTTCTCAAACTGGCATGAAGGTAATTTTTTTCGTTCTTTCTTTTTTCTGTAACATTGTACAATGAACTTTAGCGTTTCACTCCTATTATTATCAGTAATCATTATCATCGTATATTAAGAATAATCATGGGAACCACTGTTGTGCATGGTTATGAATCTTTCATAATATTACTTGCTCTATATAGCAATTACCACAGGTTGATTTACTTTATTACTTCATTGTTATACTAATATCGCCTACAATAACCGTATTCATTAGATATTTGATAATTATATAAGGAGAAGTTGTTAGAAGTAGAATATAATATACATATATATACATACACGTATATATTTATTCGATGATATCTGGGTCACTTATTTTTAAATTAATTCAATGGACTGGTATTAATAAGAAACTAATTAACAACTAATAAATTAATATAATTGAATGACGTAATATTAAGAAACTCTTATTATAACCTCCAAACATAACGTGACATCAGTCTTTATTTTATCCTAATTTTGACTCATATTTAACAATTTAAAAAATATCTCACAATAGAGATATTTTATATTTTTGTAAAATATATTAATAATTTGCTATTATTATGTTTAAATTTATTGTATATATATAATCGTATATAATGACTATATATTCTATAAATTAAATTTCATTACATATTAAATTATTTTTAATTTCCAGATCATACATCGAATAAAACAAAAAAATTTCAAAAATTCAACTAATAGATAGGTTTATAATCTATGTCAATAAAATAATTTTTATTCAATATTTGTAAATTTTCGTAAAAAATCGTAATATTATAACTTACATAAAAAAGAGCACACATGTGAGGCTTGTAAACGATAAAAATTAGTCTTCAACCATTCAAAGTACAAGAATATTTTCAAGTAAGCAAATTGTTCCGTGTACGCACATGCATATATATATATATATATAAACGCATGTGTTTATCTCATCATCGACAAAAAATACGGTTCAGCATAAATTTTGCAAAGAATACTGTCCATCTTCCGATTCGATGTATTCATGTAAAAGAGAATACATTAAAAGCGCGTGCGCGTAAGCATGCGCACGAAATAAAACTGCGCACAAAACTGCGCAACAAACTACACGTTCCTTAGTTAACGCGCGCGCGTGAATAAACAAGTACGAAGTTTATTTTAATGGTGTTATATACATTATACTACGTTGTTTGTTAGGTATGTTATGGTTTGTATGTATGGTATGAGGAAACGAAACGACCGTATGTTGTTCGAAACTATGTACGAGTTCTGGCGAGGTCGAAAATATGCCCAGTGGCTATCACCCACGTTTACACCATAGTTATAAGAGATTTCTGTATAATATGGCTACATTCGCCGATCAGTGTTTAACAATACGATCAGGATACCAATGAGGTATATTATAATTAAGAAATTTATCTTGGCAACTTGAAATAAAAAGATGATCACGTAATATGTCTTCATTACAATTAATATTCAATGTTATTTCTACATGTAGAAAAGATAGAACTTATTATATTTGTATTATATGTCAAATTTTTATGTTTTGTGAATTTATTTATGTAAAATTTGAGTGATTTGTCTTTTTATTTTATTTGAGAAGATAACTAACTTTGATTATTCTTTTAGTCTTGGAATTTACTATGAAATGTGTAATTGAAATTTTTCCAGAATTCTCTGAAATAATTAAAATATTTCCTTAAACTATTTTAGATAGCATATTATTGAATGAATTTTATTTTACTATTTTAATTATTAACATATTAATATTGTTTAATAATTGAGAAATATAAAGTGTTTCAATATTATATTAGATAGAACATTTAAAATTTAGATGCTGTTCTAGAAAACTATAATAGAATATATTCTAATGTCTTTTATAAGATTAATACCGCATCACATTCTTCAATACCTTGATTATATATCTCTTATATAAATTGGTTAATATTTGCTTTTATAAAAAGAGGTAAAAAGAAACAATATAATCACTATCGCATATGTAACTTATTAGTGTGAACAAAAAAAAATATTTACATATTATAAATCTTTAATAATCGTTTAATTCTCTCGAATAATAAAATAACCACAAGAAAACATTTTTAACATTATTTGGAATGCGTTTGCGTAATCAAAATTCGAAAGTTTCCCTATATGTCTCATATTTCTTTGAAATTTTTGTTCTATCGTTTCTCTTCTATCTTCTCTTCTTTTACATCTGACTAACACATTGTTGACTTCTCTTAATAACGATAGTTTTTTGTTTTTTTGTTCGAAGCATATATACACTGCTTTAAAACCCGATAATTGAAATAATTAAAACGCATAGCTCCCGATGGTTACAAGTAATAATAATTAAAATGGAACGGTAGTGCGCGAACAGGAACGTAATACGAAGCGCGAATTCGTGTATAATCCATCATTCGTGTATTCCGTATTCCATGTAGACGGTGTACGTGCTGAGAGAAAGACTCGTTTCGTCTGAGGAATGCACGGCATTATAATGAGAACGCGGCAAGACCACGGTGCAACTCCGCGACTCGATTATTTTGTTTAATTACAGGGAACATTAGACAAGTCACATCCGTGGCGTTACATGCTCCTTGGAATTCTTCTGTGAAAAAAAAGTATCGCGGCACTATTGTTCGTCTATTGCCACATACATAGCTGTAATTATTCATACTATTCATAATTATTCACACAATAATTTTTTATATCACATCCTGATTATATTACAAAGGATATATAAATGTCTTATTCTGTGTATTATCATTAATACGGATGACTATTAAATTCTGATTAACCGGTATTTATCGTTTAGCGATTATAATTGTATATTCATTAAGTTATAGTCATCCAATAATAACGTTCATGATTTCTGAATTTGTTTGAATAATTATGAATAGTAATTTAATATGTTCATAATTCTGTATTGTCAATAGAACATTTCAGTTGAATCAGTTCTTAATTGAAGCATTCAAGGGAAAAAACAGTATAAATCACAAAATTTTTATTTTAAGAGAAAAATTATCTGAGTTACAAAAAAAAAAAAATACATTTGTACCACATCTTCTATCTTTTTTCTTTTCTATCTATTTGCAGATTATAACAATTTATGCCGAATAAATTATGTGATGAAATATTATCTAATAGAAACAAATTCTGAAATTTTAATTTTAATTTTCTCGAAAAAAATTTTATATTATTATAATACAAAAAGTTACATTTTATCTTGCATCTTATACAAATAAAAATAAAAAACAAACAAATTTGTTCCGAATGCAAATATAATACGCTACTGTAGTGAATATTGTGTGTGTAGTCATTGTAATTTTACGATTCTCAATAGCTTTTTCAACTGATATGCTTATCTTAATTTTTCCTAGAGTAATTCAGTTTTTCAGAGTAGTTATCCAAGTTTCATTCGAGAAGGCGAGAGAAGAAAGGGGAAGAAACAAAAAAAAATTAACTGCATTCCTTACGAGCTCAATTAGCAGAAATTTCAAACTTTATGATAGAAAATACTAGTCGTTTCTTCATTTAAAAACCCAATATATAGATAGATTATCGCTGCTTACTGGATGATAACAGTGCAAAACATAGAGATTCCATAAAATAATAGTGGTTGCCTTGATTGTTGATTCGATTAACATTTGCCGCATATTCATGCTATGTACACTAAATGTATTTAAATATTATTCAAGGATAATTGATTTAAGATAGTATTATTTGTAATTGTTTTAAATACTTAGATAAATTCAAAAATAAATAATTCACTATCTATATCTATAATGTATTTCTATAATGTATAATTTAACTAAAAATATAATAATGATATTTAATCTTTTGATACTTAACTTTAAGTATTAATTTAGAAAGGAATAGACTTAATTATTCTTATAGTATTTATTTATATATTATTTATTGTATGTTGAATGAATATAAAATTTACTTATGTAGCTTTAATAAATTAAAATCATGATCAATTATGATGTTTTTTAATCAAACTTTGACACATTTTGTAATATTTTTTTTTCTAGAAAACGCATTAAAAAGATCTATTGAATTTTTATATATTTTAAACAAAAAATAAATTATATTATTATATTATTATATTCATTATATTAAGTATTCAGTTAATAGATTAATTTTTTCAATACAGACATTCTAATTAATTTAAAAAAAATTAATTCATTTTTTGTATGTATATCATACATGTTATCATATATGTAATATTTTTTAATTCAATAATTTATAATTAATAATCATTTACAATATTCTCATTATTTTGTGTAACTTTCCACTTCAAAATCATCTATATAGTTCACTATTCTTACATAATTCTCTCAATGTTCCACGTTAAATTAGTGGTGAACAAGCAAAGCATATGAGAGATGCGCGAATTGTGCAATGTAATTACACGGTTGGATGAAAGACAGTAGTGGTTGCTCAACATGGATGACGGCGACCATAAAGATTTTAACAAAAGTTCAACGAAATTCGAATTCCGCAAATATTCAAAACAATGACAGGCTCAATTTGTTTAACTGCGTATCTATTCATATTCACGAATCTCTCGATTGATCAATAAAAACGTGCAAAATTTTAATCATTAGTAAACCATACGCTAACATTTACGAAGTGTTTCCATGTCGATTCGTACACGTTTAACGTAAACGAATGACTACTGTCTTTAAGAACTGGCCCTATCAATGCATCAACGACAAGTGCTCATAAACAAGCCCTTGTTTGCTAACATTTGTTTAGTGGAAGTGCTTGACAAATGTTTGTCACGGATTGCCTGCTATTAACATTTCAAAAAGCTCACAAACATTTGTAAGCATTCTACGTGACCGGTGAATACGCGGCTTTAGTAGTCGAAACAAAGCTCGAGGTGGTCCACTCGGTCTCTCCGTACCGCGTTATTTCCTTACGTAAGCGCTGCACAGTGCACGGGTCGTTGCTTCGTTCTGTATGTCACCGTGTGCCGCGCACGGGAACACCAGTCTGACGGCATTCCATCGTGATTTGCGAACGTTTCGGTAAACGTTCAGCACACCCGTGGTTCGCGCGGTGTTTACGTCTGCTCCTCGTTGCAGAGGAGGAGAAGAGGTTGGCCGTCTCGTGACGATAATCGGAATTCCGAAAGGAAAGCAAGTTACTTACGCGTAATATCGGCCACGATTTTGTCGAATCGTATTTTTCGAGAGATCTTCGATTACAATTTTTTCCTCTTTTTTTCTTATTATTTTTTTTATTTTAATGACAGAATTGCTCAGTGTGTAAACGTCGTTCTGACTGGTTTACGCGACACGTGTCTTGTTCAACGGATTTGGACTCTGCTCCGCTTGTTTTTAGGTTAAGGCCAATTACGAGAATTCTTCGAGTGGCGCGTCTAACCGTTGTAAATAAACGATCGATAGGTTAGGTCTGTTTCCTTTTACGATTGGACGTTAAAAATATGGTGATGGTGATGTTGGAAATCATGCGATGATGAAATAATACTACGAGAATCAATGTTTAGTTGAAAATTGCATAATGGAATTGTAACTTGTTAATCGTTAAGAGACAATTTAAGTGTTCGTTATTTTAAAATTATGTATGAGTATAAAAAATTCCTTCGTAGCATATTTATTATATCATTCATGATATGAATTAATATGTCAAGAAATCGTATCCAATATTACCGTGCTGTGATATTCGTTTGAATTTCTTAATCGTTCTTTGTGTAATTTTGATGCCAAAATCGGCATGAAGAGATCAGGATCTATATCCTGTGGTTCTTCATTTAGAATTAAGTTTGAAATCCAACTGAAAATCCAACCTATTCCGAAACATAAGACACTTCCTAAGGGACAGTACCACATATATGAAATGCGATACAAGTAGAAGTATGAGTCATTGTTACTTTGCCTGTAACAGAGAAACCGCATATGTAATTTATTGCCTCTTAGAAATCAATTATGTTAAATTGTACTACGTAGAACAAATATTAATTCTATGATTAAGGAAAGCATTAGCAATTTGATATAATAAATGTGTATGTAATATAGTAAGAACATAATACCATGTTTTTTAAAACATAATTATGATTTGGAAAATATATATTTATTTATATATATGTTTTTTATTGTATATTTATTTATTGTATATGTTTGGATAATGATATAATTCGTTTCATATTAAAATGTATCTTAAAACCGTTATTCATTTTTTCAGAATCATTACTTTGATATTAATGATTATTAAATTAAAATAAATTATTAAATTATTGAACAATAGCAATCGTATACGATAATACATATTTTTTTTTTATATAATGAATTATATTTTTAAAAATAATCAAAAAATAATTTATCAATGAAATATTTAAAATATAATAATATGATATAATAATAATAATAACAAATAAATAAATATTAGCTTTTTGTAAAAAAAATAGATTATATATTAAAAATATCTTTTAAATATAAATAAAAAATAAACTTATATTATTAAAAAACTGATATTAATAATCCTTACAATATTATATCGCTATAATAATATATACAACTTTCTAAATGTTTTTGATTGACTAAACATCAAAGAAAATCTCCAATGATAAAAACTAAAAAACAGTTGCGTCAGAGAATGTGCGTGAATGGAGACTGAAAATGTGCATGGTCAATAAATAGCAGGCGAATTCCTTACTGGTATTCAAAATGCAAATTCGACGATTCCTCGTAATCATAATGCGTGGCATTGCTACAGTTAGACGTGACATCCACCTTGTTCGGGATTGGTGGCTTTGGCTGACCGAAACCGATCCACAGGCAGAAAACGAGGCTAGTTAGTAGACCGACGATCGCTCCTCTCTGATTTCCCAATCTTGTAAACATGCCTAAAGTGAACATGCCGAACACAGGACCGCCCACCACACCGAAAATCGTCAGAGCTGCCTGAAGAAGCCCACCAAGAAAATGTGCCATAAATGCTAATCCTATGCAACTAATACCGACTATAATGGCCAGAATCTTGCTGATGATAATTAATCCCGTTGCGGTAATCTCTTTATTCCTGAAATAATATTAATTATATCAGTTAATAACCAATGATAGATATTCCAATTAGCCAGATCTCAAGCTTTTTTTCGCAAAGCTTAACAAATTACAAATTATAGGTTATGTTAATAAATTCGTCTGTATAATAATATCAAATTTCATATTAACAAAAATTCTATCGTAACAATCATTGCAATCATTGATATTTGTAAGATTTTTGAATATAAATCGTAATATTATAATTAAAATCTTTCAAATACATACAATTGTGAATTCTACAGCAAAAAGGATGCAGATTCATTTATATTATAAATAATAACTAAAAAATTCGAGAATATATCTTTATTCCTTTCGCTGCAGGATTCTCAATTGCATCTCTACTTTCTATTCAAACTTTTTGTCGAGAGCATCATCCAAAATAATTAAAAGTTTTAAATTAATTACCAACCAAATCAAAGAACCAAAGAATTCCTCCTTGGTCACCGTATAATATTAGAAATCTAAAATATATAATGATACATTGCTTGACGAAACATTTATTAAATTCTACCAAAGACTCACCAAAAACGACATATAGGCTTGATAAAATCTTCCAGTATAACGGCGGCCAAGGAATTCACCGTGGCAGAGATGGTGCTAAGTCCAGCGCTGAAGATGCCTGCTATAAAAAGGCCGGGCACACCTGGATACGCGGAAAGCATGTCCATCACGTAAAGCGGCATTAATTGATCGTAGGATCCGATCCTTCCGCTCTCGAGGGGGTCGCAGTTACGATACTGGGTATATATCGCCAATCCAGTGAAACAGAGGCCCAAGGACATGAGGGAGGATAATGGCCAGCTTATCCAAATGGCAGATTGCGCGTGTTTCACGTTTCTGTGAAAAGCATGAAAGTCGAGGGAGATGATTTTACAGACGATTATTATTAAAGTCGAATCGGCAGCCGTGGCGGACGAGGAACGATTTATCGAACGATCGCTACCGGCGGTATGCATGCGAGATGCGTGGCTGAGATAAAGTCCGGAGGAAAATTCCTCCGTCTCTCTGTCGTCACGCTACGAAGAAGAGAATCATGATAATGCGCCTCGAGATGAATACAATGCCGCGGGATCGGGATACGCAATATTCGAGCCATCTAGAGAAATTTCATTCGAATGCTGCTGGCTCCGTATCGTCGTCGATTTATCGAACGTTGATTTACGATTCAAGAGCTGGGGAAGAAAGATCGGCCGATTCCACGATCGGTGCATGCCTATTTGCTCGTTTTAGCGATGTTTTTGCTACTATAAAATGGATTAGTGGAACAGTAGGTTGGAGATACTTGAACATGATTAAATTTAAATAAGAGTAATCTGGTTTTCTTCTTTAGTTACATGATTAATAACATTGGTTATGATATATTTATGCACTTGTATACGTACTAAAGAAAATTAATGCGTTTGGCATTAATTTTTAATAAATTTTTTTATTAAAACGAACTTTTATCGAAATAATTTTCATAATAGATTTATCTAAAATAATTATGTTATATTAAATTATTTATTTATTAATTAAATTATGTATGATTTTCTACAATCATTAATTAATAGCTATATATTAAATTGATAAAAAAATCAATTTTAAATAATAACAATCTATCAAATATCTTGCAATTCAAAATTCAATCTCGAAATTTTTTTATCTTATCGAAATCAAGAATTATCAAAACTCTATCATTAATTCAATACAATATATTTTAATTCGTATTTTCGTTTTTCCTTTTACGAATAATTCTTTTAAATCGAGAAACCAGTCTACGTTATTCAAATTCATAAACGTTGAGATGAAATTCTTGATGTTTTTTTTTAATATTTGGAAACGTGTCTGCAAGATGTTGGTTCACGTTAGTTAATTATGGAATGCGTATGGATGTGTATAACTCGCGATATCACGAGACACGTATGTATCGTGTAGAAAGTCAGCGTATACTCACTTGATGGTTAACATTCTCTGAACTTGAACTTGGTTGGTTCCGTACAAGGAGAGGTAGGTGAAGAAACCGCCAAATGTCAAGCTCCACCAGGTGTGTCGCACAGTTGGGTCCATTGAAATGCTGAATGAATGCACATGCCATTGTCAGTATCGATACCGGGCCTGAATTCCTCGTAAAATAAACGTTTCATGCCTGGCATGATATTTGAAAGTGTGTTAACTGCTCATGGCAATTTACAATATAATGCCAAAGAGAAAATTTAAGTAGTTGCTAGCGCGCTATTACTCATGTTATACAACGTAACGGTTTATATTATAATAATAATTAAAGAACCATGCTCTGATTGTTTCGATGCCCTAAACAATACATAAAACATCGTAATATGTACTATCACTTCTGATAAATCGAGAATTTAGGTGATAATTTATTCAGAGTTTTTAACATTTATTTAATAACGAAAATTGACAGTATATCGATCAGTAATTCTTCCTAGATAAGTGATAGTAGAACTAGAACCAGTTATTCTCTATTTCTTTAATAAATTATATTCAACAAGAATATACATGGATAAAAGAAAATAGTATTAAGGGAAAACCGAATATATTTGATTTAGCTCCTTGCATAGTATTTATTAACAAAAATTAAAATACTTATATTTAGAAAATCATAAAACCAAATATAACCCTAATAGTTATTTCATATAGCATTTGATTATATTCAAATTCAAATTACTATTTTCTTTTATCCATTCATTAATGACATTAATATGGTAGTCTTCACGATATAATAGGATTATAAAGTACGTCATTAGAGAGCGGCATCGATTGACGCAATGACATTGCATCGTCACATTTAGCTGGAATATTCTACTTGATTCAAAGCTAATGAATACACTTTATGTAGATTTTAAGGTTCCGGACCCTTATGTAAAATTTGACCTCTGACCAGATTGCATGACTTGGTCACATCGTGAAGCCTATCTATTATGGTTGATATAATCATGATTGGACTTTTCCTTTTTTCTAAGAAAATAAACGTTCACCTGTCAAATTCTATCCGTGATCCTTGTCGAGCAATCTCCCAAATTTTGTCAAGCCTCCGACGTTTATGGCTGCGGTGATGATTACCAAGATAATAGCTATCAGCATCAACAGACTCTGAAATACATCTGTAATGAGGACCGCCTTGATACCGCCGATGGTCGAATAAAACGTGCAGACCAATCCTATGCCGATTATACTTGCGGTCGTCGAGATACCTGTGGTTGCTTCCAGGGCAAGTGCCGGCGCGTACAGTACTACACCGCTGTACAGAAGCAGTTGAAGTGTGAAAGCGAAGCTTCCTGCCATTCTTGCCGCTTTTCCGAAACGTTTGTACAAGTACTGAAAGTTATATTCGCATGTAATAATTCTTATCAATTATTTTTTTAATATTAAAATATATATATATTTTTTTCTTTTTATCAATTAACACGAAGTGAGCATTGTCTCGTAAATTATTTACCTCGAAGGCGCTGGCTTTTCCAATCTTGAAGAACACCGGCATGTACAAGTAAACAACGAACGGTGTAGCAAGTCCATAGGAAATATTGATCACTGCGTATTGGGTACCATAAACGTAATTTTCTGAACTCACTCCTAGCAAACTGACCGCGGATAAATACGAAACCGTTAAGCCTATCGCGACCGGTAATATTTGCATCGATCTGTCTGCCATGAAATATTCCTGTTGTGAACCATGTCGAAATTACATGAAATTATTGGCCTATATAATACTTTCATCTTTAATTTTTTTTTCGTCAGTCAATTTTTAATAGAAATTTATTAATTTTAATATTGAATTCATACTTTAAGCATCTTCAAGGATATTCGACAGCTTTAAAATGATATATATTTAGTAGAGATAAATTTTTATAATTCAAAAATCTTATAATAATAATACATTTTTGTCTCGAATATCCCAAAAGAGACGTACAGATTTTAATTCTTCCATTGAGTATATACTCTATATTATTACTAAAAAAAAAAAAAAGAAAGAGAGAGAGAGAAGAAAGGATTATTTAAATTGACTTACCTCCATTGATTTCTGTTTTCCCCCGCTAAGCCAGTAATATACACCGATTCCTGAACTAATGATCATCGTTATTACGATTACCGCATAATCTGCGGCTACCAGGTTAGCCATGTTCCACTTTTAAACGATATTGTCAGACTGAATTCGACAGGCACACTAATGCTTGGCCGCGATCGCACTCGATCGCGGCAGTTTATTTATTTAATGTATCGCTTAGTCGACAAACGTTGCCTCTTTAATCATTGTTAGCTTCAACACATTTAACATTGATGCCATTTACGTAATGATTCAAAGCCATCTGTCTGGCGAATTATTATAGCATTCTTTTTCCCTTTCTTTTTTTAATCATATTCTGTTACAACTGATGAGTAGTTAATAATTGAATGTTTTCTTTTTGAATTTTGATAATCGTTAAATTCATTGTGAAATTTAATTTCTTCTCGTTCTTCGTTTGTAAACAACATTTGCGATAAATACGCATTTATGTCCATACATTTTTGTTGATTTGTTAATCATCACCTGTAATTGGATTTTTATTCTTTAAGTAATTATATTCTGTTTTAATGCGAAAGATAAGAATTGATATTTGTCATAAACATGAGTTGTTTTATTAATGTAATGATAAAATGGTACTATAAATGATACTTGATACCATTTATATTACCACGATGATATTTGAATAAAGGATTAACTTAATTTTCAAATGATTCTTTTGTGATTATATCAAATTTTGATAATTTTACATATGTAAAAATATAGAATATTATTTTTTAATAAAGATTAAGATAAATGATAAATTTAAGATAAGTGAATTTAAAGATTAGATTTTAAAGATTAGATGTAATACTTATATCAGCAGTATGTATATATAATTCACTTATTGTTATTGCATTTTACTTTGCATATATATTTTTTTTTTTTTATATTTTTAATGTAAATGATGACTTAAAATATAAATTTATATATATAACTCTTAAGTCAGAATTTATAGAGAATTTTAATTATAAAGAAAATTATTATAATATTATTATAAAATACATTAAACATCTGATCACTTATTTCATTTTTTATTTATCTATTAAAAAAACTATCACTATAACAAAATCACGCAAGCAAATGAACATTTTAAATACTGTACGCGACAATTATATACTGATGGACATCGTGATAGTAACTAACAGAGATATATTAATAATTGTTTCAATTGTTACGATTAAAGAAGTACCAACATTGAAATAAAGCTGAATCCTTACCAATACAGATGTTTGTATTTGTTTACGAGTGCAAATGTTATTTTTATATGAAATATCACGTTTCTTACTATCATTAAAAAATTTTAAGTTATAATTTTATTTGGAATGTGAAACTCGTATAAAGTTCCAGAACGACTAAACATTACGAGAAAGAGTTTGAGTATTTAGGATTAAATGGCAGATAAGAATGATAAGTATGATAAGTTGAAGAACAAAAAATTTTTATCATTAAATTTCAGTTTTTTAATTGTACACATTTAAGAAATACTATATAAAAAATAACACTTGTCAATTATAATGCATCATGTGACTACTATTAAAACAATCAATGATATCTATACATTTCAACTATTAAAAAGTAGAATTTTTAGAAAGATCTAATATTTATAAAAAAAAATGAATATAAATATGAATATGAAAAAAATATTTTAATGAAAACTAAATTATATATATTATTATTAACCTTTCATTTTAAAATTTTGTTAATAAGTATCCTCGTGCGTTCATCATAATTAACATCATATTTTTACAATTTAATTTTTATACAAGCTTCATCCTTGATATCATTTTAAATTCTCATCGTTATCAAAGCACATATAATTATCGATAATTAAATCATACATAATTTTGATTACTTTGGAATTTTACAAATTAGAACTATATAAAATCCAAATAAAAATATTTTTTAAACTGAATCAATTTCTATTTTGAAATTACAAATCAATAGGACACCTCTGTTCTTTCATTAATCAATATATTAAACTTTTTGATGAGATCTCTTTTCTTCAATATCCTCTAATAGGTATATCATCCCATTTAGATGGAACTTTTCTTTGCACAAAGTAAAGTACGAAGAGTTTCTAACTATAAACGCACAGTTACACTATAAAGATTATAGTTATAAAGTATACATCAAATATTAAATGAAAGACCATAGATATCGGATCTCGTATAGGTCTGTGACAGTGTTTACGGTACTGGCGACAAGCGTTTCCTGCGTACTATCATAGAACGCGTTGTTTGCACGACAAGCGCTTCTTACAGAGCTACGGTTTATGCACGTTCGTGGCTATACAAACCTACGCGTTGAACGTGCACGTACGCACTTCCGCGTTCTCGTATCCTACCTGAGAGAGCGCGGGTGTCTCTTAAGATTATCGTCGAAATAAATTCCGCGGTAACCTATGGGTCTTCTTCTTCTTCGTGATCTCGCTTCTTCCCTATTCGTATTGGAATATGCACGACATGTTGAAGGAAGAAAGAAACAGTCTGCATATATATATAAAATGTGTTTATCCATCGAATTGATAAATAGATCTATTTATATAGTTCGATGGAATATCAACATGTCTGTAAAAAAAATATTTTTTTTAGAAATATAATAAAGTTTTAAATATTTTTGTATTAAATATATAGATAGACGTTCTAAGATGATGGGAGATATTCTAATGATTTGGTATTTTATGATTAAAGTCAGAAATTAGAAATAGATTAGAAAATAATTCGTTTTCCAAAAATATATCTATAAATGAAAGATTGAAAAATGAAATGATAAATTTATGAGAAAAAGCACTTGATTAAATATATAATTCAATTTCAATATCTTCTCAATTCAACTATCAGTAGAATTATTTTAGTGATATATTATAAAATAAAAACGATAGCCAATTCATGGAAATTAAATTGATAATTATGGTTTTAAAGAGAAAAAGTAATTCGAGATATCATGTTCAATTCAGTCGATGAGCAAACTTGTTTGTTCGACTAAACAATTTACCTACACATTAGCGATTCTACGGTGGTACCTGTTAGCGCCAGCTCCTCGTCACGAACTGCTCGTGTAATGCGTTAATGTGTGTAGAACGTACGCGTTACTGGCAAGATACTAAACAATTAAACGAAGTCCGATGGGTTATTGTTGCCCAAGCTATGAAACAGGTTGAACCCTTTCTGGTCTTGTATCGAAGTGAAAGTGATATACAATTTTTATTCCAGTTTTACTATATAAAACATATTTAATAATTACTTAAATATATTAATTTAATATTATTAACTATTACTATGATTAATTATACTATTAATATTTAATTGTATCAGCATTTGTTCGTCAGCTAAAATATGTGTAAATATATATTTATAATATTGATTGTTGTTGATTCAATTTCAAGAAATAAGTATGTAAACATTTATATAATCTCAATTTCTAAATTAATTCAAATAACATATGTAGTCTAATTTAATCTTTGTTCTAATTTTAAAAAAGTCAATTTAGTTAAATTAATTGGATATTCGAAGAGGTTAGGTTTGATTCCATTAGTGCAATGAAACTAATACATTTAATCATGTTGAATCGTAAATATTTCAATCATTATTGATGAGAAATTATAAATACTTATTATAATTTTTACTATAATAATGAATTAAATTTTTATTTAAAAGACTATTATATAAATAATTTCATTTAAAAACAATGCCAGTTAAGTAGTACCTATTTTCAAATTGCAGTCCTTAACCTATGTACACATATACATGCATCAAATGTTTTTACGTTACAGTCTTTAAGAAGTTGGCAATAATCCTCGGATGATTTTAACATACAAATCAGTGCGGAAGATAGATTGCATTATCATTGCGTCTAGTCAAAAGAACGTGTGCAACCATTTCGGCAAATATTCATTCCACGGCAGTATTTTATTGGTCATGGACGAGGTGCGCCCGTGCTGCGCGTTTCTCGTGCGCATTCTTCGTTCCGTCAGAGGCGTCAGTGTCGCGGATCTACGCTTCGAATGGCGGGTTTGTTGCCGCGATCCCCGTCACGGCGATAATAAATTTTCCGTATCAAAGCGTCGTTAAGTGGGAATTATTTTGCAATTAAGAACAGGTTGTTCCACGGATCGAATCGATTACGATCTAATCATCCACCGTTGCCGTTGCAATTTGCCTCTGGGATTTATTCATAAAATCGTCGATTTATTCGTAAACGCGTAAGAAAGGCATTCCAGCGCGGCTTAACAAGAATGCTAAACCACAAGGGCAGGAGATCAGGGACTTTACTAGAATGCGCGGCGAACTGCATGCACGCATAATGCATTTGTTGAATCGTGGGTGGAAGGAGAAAAAAAGAAAGGAAGTGGGAGAAAGAAAGATGAAGGCGCGTAGGACGAATACGGTGCATTCTTGATGCATTTTTTAACACACGAACTGCCGGGTGAGTTTCACATATTTTGTCTACGACATAATCATATATATTATTTAATTTTATTAAAAATCTATATTAGTAAAAAATTCCCTGTTTAATATTACAAAAATCAGTCAAAATGATAAGAAATTTTATTCGATATTCCTAAAAAAGTACTTTAAAAAGATAAATATAAACTATAAATGTTTTTTTGTATTTAAGATATAATCAATGTAAATAATAAAATATCAAGTAGAACTAATGTTTTGAAAATGTGAAAAAAATATAAAAAGGTTAAATAGAATATTTCTATTGATATATTATCTATAATCTATATTATTATATATAATATAATACAATATAAATAATATTATATATTTTATGAATAATAATTCATTCAAATATTTTAATTAATTCTTGCATCATAGATAATTTTTGATTTTAATATTTATTAATTTTTAAAAGAATAGTCATTTACAAGATTTTGTTCCCCTCTATGTATTATCGTTACAAATGAAAAGAGTTCAGAAAAAAACCAATAGATTGCGCGTGTGTAGTCAAGATAAAATCAAGAAAAATAAGAACGGGACTTAAGGTTTCATTTAATGGCTAACATTCATATTTGCGACTGTTTTTGAAATTAGTTTTGTTTTATTCCCTGTTCTGTTTTTCTGATTTTGTTTTGTAAGAATAGCAAAGGAACGATCAAACAGAAAGAAATAAAAATGGAAAAACCACATTCCTTTTGTAGGTTTAATTACTAACTTCTGTAGGTTCGAATGACATAAAAGATGTACTGGTTTTTGTACTTGAGACATTAACCGCGAGATCGCGCATCACTTCATTATGTATTTCCCGCGCATTTTAGTAGTTTGCTAATGGTATACGAGAAGATATAAACGAATTTGTACGTGATGTGAAAATTAATTTGCAATGAAGTTATGGTAAATTTTGTGTTTTGTGATTTTTATGAGCATTGTGACATTTAAACAAGCAGCCAATAGTCGTTGTGAAATGCGATAAAACTCGTTTGCGTATATCGGACGTAGGCTGCGTTATAAAATATGATAGCAGTGTTTTGTGTGAAGCGTGCTTCAGTAGTAACGTGGAATGAAAAAAAAGATGGAGGCAAAGAAAAAAAGAAAGAAAGGAAGAAAAAAGAAATAGGGTTCTAAGTAAGTACGATAGCGTAACATACTGACCTTACATTTTCATTAGCATACAATCAAGTCTAGATAAAGGAATACGTATATATACCGGCATATCGGAAATACATATGGCTACGCGATCAAATCGTTGATAAATACGGGTAACGGTCCATTAGAAGATGCTCCTGGAAAGCTATGCAATAAATAGAACGAAATGATCGATTGACTAATATTTATCTTCGATCGATGACTGTTTTTTGTTACATGTTACTAAGAGATTATTAAAATATGAAAAGTCATATATATTATATTTTTAAAATTTAGAAAAAAAAAGAAATCAAATTAAAATTTAAAAATTCTTATATAGATATAGATTATATATTATATAAATATAAGAATATTTAAACAATTAGTTTATTATACAATAAAATAAATATGAAATAAAATAATATTTCTTAAAATATTTTTAATTTTAATATATAGAATACTTTTGTACTTTTTCGAACACTGTCATTGAATAATCAAACGCTATATAATCAGTATATAAATCCAGTTCGAACTAATACATTCACTCTCACTCGCATAACCGGAAATTCGTGAAATTCTGCACATTTCACGAGTACCGGTTACTAATATAAATTTGGTATTTAGATTAGCTCATTTTTATCAAATTCCTATTAATTTTTCAAAATAAGATTTCTATATATTCTATATATAATTGAAAGTAAAAAATTACTTCGATGAAAATCGAACAATATCAAATCCTTGTTATATATTAATAAATATTATATTGAATTTAGCGAAATTCAATAATAAAACTCAAAATTCATAATATTTTTAAATTACTATCACAATTAAAGAGATTTATTCATATACTTCCACATAATTGACGAATATGATTAAAAATGAAACAGTCTATTTGTTCTTTCGTTATCTTTTCGCCGGCCATTTTTAGAGATTCGTTCTCTTTCTCTCCAGATAGGTAGGTTGCTAGGTAATTAGATTTGTACGCGCGGGCAACATCGGCGCTTGAGAAAAGGACGAGAAGTGGCGAGAGTGCGCAAGACACGGTTACTCATGCCACTGGAATGTAGTTCACATTGTTTATATACCGCCTCCTACGTGCATGCACGTCGCACTTCGTCGAACGATAAAACCAGTCGCCGGCGCTCCCGTCGTGTGGATATCGGCCTCCGTGCGTGTGCACACGCTTCGTCGATCGCCACTTTCATCCCTGCCGATCCGTGGAATCCTCGTTCCGTTTTCGAATTCGCTACGAGTGGCTGTGATGCCGATCGGGAGAAAAGGCATCCACCGCCATTCAAGTATGTTCTTTCGATCCGATCGAGATCTGCATACTGATGATGCAAGGATGGGCTAATTGCCGGAGATCGGTACCGGCACAAAGGTCGCCGGTGTCGCTTGTAAAACATCCTAGATCGTTTGACGAGGCGGTAATAAAAGACTGGTAACGCGGATGGCATTCGTTATGGGTGGTTATTCCGAATGGAGGATTCTTACGAGTATTCGTCATCCAAAGCTGGGGAAAATAGATTTTTGAGATAGATAAATGCAAATAAATATTTTGTTCTTCTTACAATACAGAACTTTACAAATAAATATTTAAAAAGAAAAATAGTATCTTAAATTTATATTTTAGAATCAATTAGTGCGATATTGTTTTTTGAAATGGATATTTCGTTGAAATGCGCAATGCAGTTTATTTCGATTAGACGAAAAATAAATATTCTATCTATATCCAATCGGATTTCATCAATTTAAAATTTATAAAAATATTTATCCGCAACGTCTTCGTTGGAGATCTCTTATCCCTTGAAGTATTCCATCAAAAAAACCTTTTATATCAGAATAGCATCGAATGTTTCGTCGTATTCACAAATGATATACCTCGACGGTTCACCCCCTATCGTCCTCCACGACCAAGTACCTGTCGAGATCCGCGCGCAAAAATTGATCCTCCGTGATTTTCCTCCGAAGTCCGTGCACGGGGTCGGTGATCGCGAACAGAATGCTATAGGGACACAGGTTGAACGTCTGCGAAATGCATTGGCTATCCAATGGGGTCCAAGAAGGAACGAGAGATAGAGAATGAGAGAAAAAGGGGGATAAAGAGGGATGGTAGAGAGGAGGGTAAGGGAGAAAAAGGAGGTTGGATCGGGGGGAGGGGGGAGAAGGAGAGACCGGCTTTTATAATGGCGCGGCAGTTATACCGGTAAGCGAGTAAATGCATCAACGTGCTGCAAACCGAGAGGCAGCTGAGAAAGAGAAATAGACAACGGGTATGTGCGGGAGAAAGAAGGGAGCACGGTGAGAGGGTGGATGTACGGAGGGTGGGTGGAGGGAAGGGAAGAAGGAAAAGGGACAGAAAAGAGCCAGACTCCTCGGGGTGTGGGCGGATTGCACGCGTCTCTCGGTAATGGATCCCATCGATCATCCCTTCGCGGGTAGATGGTTTCTCTTCCTTTCTGCTCTCTCGTGGATCGTCCATTAGTCAATTTCGTCGATTACCGTGGCGACTTCGTCGAATCATGGGACGACCCCAAAATAGTCGTGTCGAGGACGTGGAGGAGAAAAGAAACTACCATTGCCGCCACGATGGCAAAAAGCCACTTGGTTGCGCAGAATGCATGGTGCAAAGTATGTCAAGAATCATTTATGTCCTTGATGATACGTATATGTATTATATAAAAGAGCAAATTATTGACGCAAGATACGTGGTTCTTCTTGCTTCTACCGTCCAAAGATTTTTTTCTTCGAATGTAAGAATGTAGTACAAGAACAAGTAGAATGTGTTTCCAAATTTCCAAAATTTTTCCAGAATTTCCAGAAACACTTATCGGAAACACGATGCAATGTAACAAAGGTTTAATAAGTTCTTCGTACAAAAGATATACGAGGAAAACTCGGTAGAAATCGATGCAATTAATCGGTTCGAGCGGGTTTGAAATTCCACGGTGGATCCGCATTTTTCTTTTCTTTTGAAGAACTTATTGTCCGGCCGATTTATGAGCGGTTGCCTGGCTCGGCGCGAGCGAGATCATCCCGTTTCTCCATCCACGCGACCGTCTCTTGTTCCACAGAGATGAAAATGGAGTAATGCCGGGAGCGATTCTGTGATTTACCGTGGACCAACATCCAGAAAGAGATTCAACACACGTATTGTGAAAGAGGCCTTCTTCTTCTTCTTATTCCTCCCTTTCTTCCTCCTCCTCCTCCTCTTCTTCTTTCTGCTGTTCCTACCGGTTGGGATCTCTGGAAATGCCAGTGTGATTTGTGCGACCGGTTACCGTTTTCATTTGCATATCCCTATCGGCTCTTTCGTACATTGTTATCTTCGTTGCCACGTGATTCCCTGGTCTAATAGCCTGGCATGAAGTAATCCCGGTAGTCCTCTTCTCTCTATTTCGAGGAACGTTTATGTGTTCGGTCATCGGTGGCCACGCTATTTGGAGTATAGTTGATCGTATTTTTTTTTTTTTTCTTTTTTGAAGATTCGATTTTTTTAAAGCTTCTTGCCCTTTGGTACAGAATAGAAGATAGAACGATGTCATTTAAACGAAGAGTCGAAGTATGATCTTACATTACCCCATCTATATACTGCATAAATTCGTCACCTATCGTCTCTTCCATCCCATCCATTGACCCTTACAATTACAAATTTCTCGCATATTTCTCGAAACAACATCCATTAGGGATATTTATTTTTCAAACTTTCGATTGCGATAGTTTTATGATAGAAACGATGTAAACACGTTGAACCAACTTTTTTTTCTTTTTCCACTGATATGATTGCAGTGAGGACGCTGGGCGTAGCGGCGACGAAATGAAGCATGCAGCATGCGTGGTAGCGGTGTCACGGCTGCGCGGTCCTGCCTTCAACCCCTGGTGTCCGCCAGCCGCTACCTCGCCGTTCAAGCCCTTCCTGGTGATCCTCTTTACTTCGTCGTTGAGGTGAGTACATAGAGTTTACATTATTAAACGGGGGGGGAGGAGGGGGAGGAAAAAGAATAATTCATGACGACAATGCATATTCAACTTGTTGCAACGTACATCATAATCGTTTTCATCTTGTTCCGTTGCGCACATGGTAATTCCGGATCGTCTATTTTCCATACAACGCCATTCTTTCCATGGAATTATCATCCAATGAAAAACAATAACGTCGAAAGCTTGGTATATGTTTAAAGACGATCGTGTGGTTTTTTTCTTTTTTTTTTTTTTTCTTTTTCCATCCCATACTTTAGAACGACTCGCATAATCGCCGGTATCATATTATAGAGGAGTCGATGTCTTTGAGATATCCTTTATGAATATTATTAATTCTTGTTTGAAGCGTTTATAGTGTACGAATTGCTGTTTAAATTGCCGGTAGATACTTCGGGCGGGATACTTTACGACCGAAGATACGAGGGAAAATGAGACGGAATATAAAACGATACGATATAATAACAATGATAAGGAACTTATTATTAATATAATTAAATGTAAAAATATTTCGATAGAATAATTCGAAAATGCTCGATAAATATATTCATAAATAAGTGAATTTTTATTCTTGAATATTCGTGAGAGAAAGAAAAAAAGGCTAACGTATAAAATATTATAAATACACTCGAGATCGAATTGAAAATCACGCGAAGCTAAAAAGAACGATCCGGTTCTTTTCTCCCTTTTTCTCGAGGTGTAACATGCACCGTCATCCGGTTGAAACGGAAACGCGCAACATGGCCGCGAAATACCATACTTTATCGGGACATGTGCATCGCGATGTCGAGGGCACGCCTGGATTTTCTAATCGTGGAATGCGATTAGTTACATCCGTGGCGCGCGTGGGCGTGCGAGCGTGGAATAACCGATGCGAGAGAAACCCGCGTATAGTATAGTCGATATATTAAGGCGTGCGAAGGTACATGCACCTGCCTTGTCCTCCCTAACAGTCATTTACAACCGGCAGACAGCGGGAGTGAGGAGGGACGCCCGATACTATGTAGAATGGCTAATTGAAAAAGTTCTCTGCCTCGGTTATTTTGTAACACCGTGTTCTTCACAGAATTACGTTTCACGCGTGAAAAGTAATTTTATTTCACTCTTAACGCTAGAATGCTGCTTAACGAAATTGGCAAAATTGAATTGCAGACAAAATATTCTTATCGAAAATAATATTCATCGAAATATGATTTGATTAAATTATCTTCCGACCATCGTGGAACATCGTGTATAAGTTCTTCTAATAATATTGTTCAAATATTATTCGTGTTAAGAAGATTCGTCTCGCATTTTGTCTCGCTTATCCAAGGTTTAGATGCATATATTAATGCACGTATGCGACACGAAAGTCAAATGCAGCGTATAATTATATTAAAAAATTGTTTACGCGATCTCACCAAAGAAACTCACTTAGAAATTGGTAAGAAAGAGCGCGTTTAGCGTTTTGCGTGGCACGGTAAGTTTTCGTCGATTCACGGTAGAACGCGTGCCCTCGTAAATTTTTCAATGTTTCGCGGTGAAAAATGAGTGATCTCGTTTTTTGAGGCGCGCGTTTACACGAATTATACACGCGCGATTCATCATCGTTTCAACGCAGTTATGATCGCTATTAAAACAGTTGTTGCCGATTAAATCTGTCGGGATAAAGGCTCGTTTGATGGTGGATTTTACTCAACGATTCGTAAGATACGCGATTATATCGCCATGTTTAAGCGTCGACATGACTAATGCTTGTCGCATATAAGACCACAGGTGTAAATTTCATTTTTACCTGTGGTTTTTCCTTTCTATCGTTGTGTCAATCGTCGATCGAATAAATATCGAAAAGTAGCTACTCATTCTGGTTAAATTACACGGTTTTCGCGACGATATTATTGGATCATTATCTGTGCAATGGTAAAAATAATTGTTTTCTTGAATATCTTGATTTCTTTATTTATTTTTTTCTTTTCACGAGAAAATATGGACTTTATTGATCAAATCTTGACCATGTTTGCAAAATATCGGAATTTTCTAGTGATGCTTCTGCAACAAGCTCATTAGTACAAATCCACTTTTTCAAGAGGACGCAACTGCGTTCGTGTTTGTTTCATCTTCTCTTCGCGACACTTTCCATGCAACTGTATAAAAAAATATATCGTCGATTCTATCTTTTCTATCTTCTTTATAAAGTCACTTTTTAAAAAAATTTCGATAACAAACTTATAAGAATACTCGTTCCTTCTCTTGCTGACTGTTATTCTTGCAATTTCACAATCCACAAGGCGCCATATATTCTTTCGCAATTCTCTCTCTCTCTTTCTCGACTCTTATCTTAAATCTCAATCGCATCAATTTCATAATCGAAAATACCAAACGTGTATTTTCTACATCTTCTACAGAGTGTTCAACAAAAGAGAATTCTACATTAAAAAAAAAAAAAATAAAAAATAAAGTAGAATAAAAATTTAAAAAATTTTATCTCACATTTTCTTATTTATCTTCGTACCAATTTTATTCATATTCTTAAAATTGAAAATGAAAAAAGTTTTGTTCCACATTTTCGATATATATATATTTTTTTTTTTCACGTGAAATCACACTGTAAAAAGAGTTTTTCCTGACAACGAAAAATATTGGGAAACACTGGAATAAGGGGAATGCGTGGCGAAGGCGGTAGTGAGCGTTTGTTCAATGGCAAGGTTTTTCCGCAGCAACGTCGATTTACTCGTTCGAGGCTATTGCCTTCTCGCGTCGTTAGACAAACCATCTACATAGAGCGTTATACACGTATATATATATATATATATGGCGGGTAGTGTTCTGGCGCACCTTCTCACACGATACTATCTACCTAATTATAGCCAGGTTCATTTGTAACGACGAATCTGAATTCCCGGTTGCCAAGGAATTCCTCGTTCTGCCTGCGTGGCCCCGTGTTGGGGCCTGCTGCGAAATCAACGGGGCTGGCATTCTAGCTTCATTATACCGAATCAAAGCAAGAATGTTATGTTAACTCGCGTGCAAGTTATCAAGTTTGTTCTATGGAGCGAGGATGCAGTAATATATCTGTAAAGTGGGTATTGGATAATATCCAATTAATAATTCTCTCTGGTCGTTTAGAAAAATTTAGAACACGGATGTTACAAATTATATTATCGTTCAACGTACATGGCTGCGGTGTTAAAGGGCTTTTTTGTATTTCATAATATTATTTCCTGCAAAATTAATGCATTTTTGCAATTATAGAAACGTGTTAAAATTTTTTTTGTTGCATTTGAATTTCTTTATCAAGAGAAAAAAAAAAATGTTATAGTTGATTCTTACCAGAAACAAAATTATATAATATATATGTTTGATAATAACTTTGTCAGATCGCTATAGATTTTGTTTCGCAAATTGTTTCACGATGATTCATAAAAATCTGAAGGATAATTAAAAACGTGAGAGGAGGAAAACAATAAGAAGAAAGAAAGAAAGATATTAGATTTTTCTCCCGCATGTAATTAATCTATTAACTGTGGAAGGAAAATGAGTAAATTCATTATCTCTCTGGATTGCCGGTAATTTGGATGTATTTCCGCCTCGTAATTTCCTGGCCAACAACGGGGAACGGGAGGAAGGATAAACATTTTTCCGATCTGAAACGCTTACGTGTTCCTGAAATAGACTCATTGTTACAAAATACGATAAGAGATGCACGGATTAAAAAAACGTTTCATTCTTCGTTATATTTCCTGCCTTTAACACTCGTGTTTTCTACGGCATATTTCTCAAATGACCGTGTCGATTCCTATCTGGTCCCGGTTACGTTTGTACCGATACTAATTTATTACAATGGCAGAACGGTAGCATAATAATTATGTAGATAATTGAAATGCCGATTAGAAAAGTGGAGTGGCCAGGTTTCTTTTCAAATGGAAAAATACCATCCATTGTTCATTTCATCCGTAAGATTTGTAGAATGTGTCTATGAGAAATATTGTTGTTCGAGTTTATATCTCTCTTTTTTTATTTCTCTTTTGATTTATTTTCTTCCTTTATTCCTCTCTTTTCCTCAAGTCGAACTTTTCAACTTGATCCAGATGGACTAATTATTCTTGCATTCTCCCTTCATTCTTTGTCAATATCAAACATAAATATATATGTTATTCAAAAATGAATTTTAAATTACTCCATGTTATTTATACACGTATACTTATAAAAAAAAAAAAAAAGACAAATTACAACTTAAAAATATTTTCTCTAAATATATAATCATCATTTCAAAATTAATTAACGTAATCCTTGTTCCCATAATTACATTTCGTATATTTTTTTCGGCAAAAACCAACGATGCTGGTCAATGGTATTTACGATGATGTAAAAATGACGTAAAAATCTCCAAAAAAAAAAAAAAAA